ATAGATAGATAGATAGATAGATAGATAGATAGATAGATAGATAGATATACATACATACACACACATACACACACACACACAAAAAAAAAACAACACCCTGAATTCATATTAATTGCAGATCATTTTAATATGAGCATATTTAATAGAAAAGCAGGGCAAAAGCCCTTAAAGGAAATAAAATTAAAATGCCTTAAGGCCTTTTCATTTTCATTTCCCATTTATCTTCTCTATCTGCCTTATTTGATTTCATGTTTGTCATCACAGCAAACAAAATAATACACATTAAGAATTAGTTATCAAATGACATGTTGATGCGAGTGTTTATATTCACATATGTCAACTCAACTATATCAGTCACAGATGTTCTTAGAAAAGGAAAATAAACAGGCAACAAAAGACTCCAGAATTTATAAAGGAGGCCCTGTATAAGGAAAACTAACTGCTGTATTGAAAATAACCAAATGACATTTTTTACAGGTAATAAAACTCTTTGAGGTAATATCCAAGGCTTGATTTATGCTCAGTGATTGAATGAATGAGTATAATTTTGACAAGCTGTTCTTTTTTAAAAAAAGTTTTGATCTGTATAGCTTTGCTTGCATAGGTGATACTGAGAAACAAAAACAGAAGTTTTAATTGTTTAAAAGATAAATATTTTTCTATGATATTGAATTATTATTTCATAGACTTTTCATAAAGAAACTCCCAGGTTCAGTTACTGGCATGCCCTCTAACTAATCTGAAAAGGGATATAAACCATTGGATAACAGACACAGAAAAATAAAGTTGAGAATAAGATAAGAAAAGGAAGTCTATAAATCACTTAATTTATTATCTTTGGTTATTTTCTTAATATTGTCAATTAATATATTACAATGATACTTTGCATACATTCTATTTTGCAAAGGTGATATAAATAAGCATATCATATTTCTAAAATATAATGCAAATTTCCATCTCTTTCACAGTTAAAACAAATTAAAGAAGTTCCTATGTACCATCATGTCAAAGGAAAACACTACATTTTTCTTCTTATCCTACAGAAAACTAGTAAAAAATTTAGCTAGCTTTATTTCTGACTCTGAATCAGATTCAAAAATATGGCTAGTGATAGATTTTGACAACACTGGAAGGCCTTAGAAATGGATTGTGAGAAGATTATATATTGTAAAATTCAAAGGAGAATATTTTTATTTATCCTATGATTATTCCAAAAAATAAAAGCCAGTGCACTGTCTACTTTCTGAAGAGTTCTGAAGTTCAACTCATCTTGTTAAAAACTGCATAAGATAAAAGGATAAAAAGAAAAATGAATCAATTTCTTATTCTAAATATAAAATTGGTCTCAATCAACTTTTTAAAAATATATATAACAGACCTGGATCCATAACTCTCTTTTTTTGTGGCTTCCATTAGCTCCTGCTTATCCAGTCAAATTTCAGTTTCTCTTCATTTCCCTTCTCTCCCTCAAAATTCCTTCTTGGTATTTTAGCTAAAATCAAGTTTGGTGTAAATTGACTGTTTGGTGTAATTTCCAATACTCTTTACAAAAATAGAAATAAATATTATAGCTCCGTGATGGCGAACCTATGACACGCGTACCACAGGTGGCACGCAGAGCCATTTGTGCAGGCACACAAGTCCCAGGCAAACTTACCTCACTGCACATGTGCGCACCTCCCAGTTGATTTGGGGGCCTTTTTCGGCCTCCCAAAGACTTGAGGGAAGCCTTTGCAGCCTTTGGAGGCTGAAAAATAGGCCCGTTTTGTCACTTCCTGTATTTCTGGAAATACCAGAAGTGACAAAACAAGGCCTCTGGGAGGCCAAAAAGGGCCTCAACTGGGCTGAAAATCAGCTGGGAAATTCAGTGTAGGTAAGGGGGGTGGCATGAAGTGGCATGGGGGGATTGCGTGCATTGCCTTCTGAGTGCTGGCATGCGAGCATGCGAGCGCAAGCACACACACAATTTTTGGCACAGGAGCCAAAAAGGTTAGCCATCACTATTATAGCTTATTTCACAAACAATTGAGAACAGCCCTCCTTATTTTACCTTAAAACTAATTAGTAGAAATTTTTAAAAAATATTCAGTTCATTTTTTTTATGAAAACAAGAATTATCAGTCAATGCTTTGTGAATAGCTTCCATACCACATGAATAAAGCTCTATGAAACAACCAATTTGTGAGAAGACTTTTCTGCAGTTTATGCCAGTAAAATTTCCTGTGAATCTTATCAACATAACAAAAATCTACCAAAGATAAAGTATTACATATGTCATTATGTAATATATATGCAGATATTATGCAGATCATCATCCGTACTAGAAACCTGGAAGTATGGGACAATATTTACAGTGTTAATATGACTATAACATTATACATTTAATTATCTTTGACAGAGCTAGGCCCACATTGCATTTATATTTGAGTAAAGAAATTGAGCTTTGAAAATAAAACAAAATAAATTATGTATCCACCCATATATACTACAATGTAGCACATTTAAAAATTCAAGAGAATAATCCTTTGCTCACTGAACTTTTTCATGCCATTAAAATGTTAAAAGCTTGTAAGCTGCTTACCTGAATCAACAGCTGTGACCAACATGATATATTGCTTCTTTTTTTCCCTGTCTAAGCTCTGTACAAGGTGAAGCTCTCCATTTGCTGAGAGAGTAAAGGCACCATCTTCATTTCCATAAATAAGAAAATAGGTTAGTTTGCTATTTATTCCTTGATCATCATCTCTTGCCACAACCTATAGGAGCAATGAAGTACGTTACTTTGAATATAATGGCTTTGTTTATGTTCTCTTCATTCAAACATTTTTTATGTTTATGGTTTCTTATTTGACAAAAATCTATCCATTAAAAACTTTTCATTGATTTAAAATAAAACTTATTATGTGTGCAATTAATTACACATATTTAAATATTATTTTAAGCTACTTAAAACTTTTCTGAACTTGCTTCTGAATCCTAACAAGAAAAGCATTACATAGATAGATATCTATATATCTATATCTATATCTATACCTATACCTATACCTATATCTATCTATCTATCTATCTATCTATCTATCTATCTATCTATCTAT